GCTTCTGGGTCCTGAGCCTGAGGTGGAGACACCCCCTCCTGTTCTCATTAAGGCCTCCAGGACCACCCTGTTTGCAGCTCCTCTCCTTCGAACTCTCCATGCACCTTCTCTGCTTGATGATTTCCCACAGCTCTTAGCACCACTCACATTCTCATATTTTACTAGGTTTTCTTATCTGTTGTCTACCTTCTCCCTCTAGACCAATGATGGCGAACCTTTTGAGCTCGGCGTGTCAGCATTTTGAAAAACCCTAACTTAACTCTGGTGCCGTGTCACATATAGAAATTTTTTGATATTTGCAACCATAGTAAAACAAAGACTTACATTTTTGATATGTATTTTATATATTTAAATGCCATTTAACAAAGAAAAATCAGCCAAAACAATGAGTTCGCGTGTCATCTCTGACACGCGTGTCATAGGTTCGCCATCGCTGCCATAGGGAATACTGGGACTCTGACAAACTGGGGACAGGTGGTCCCATTTAAAGAAGACTGATACTGCTGGGTGGAAATACCAGCTCAGGGTTGCCAGGCCATTGGGTTTTTTCAAGAAGGGCAGAAATACAGAATTTTAGTTAAACCTTGGTGCCCTTAATTATTGCTAACTCATTTAAAAAACAAAAACTGCAAAAATAAAAAATAATAAAATGGGATGGGGTGGAATACGTGAAAGCGTATTTGGCTCCTCGTTCAAGAGGATAGCATCACTTAACGTTCAGTGAAAATTATTGTACGCCATCAGCTAATTGGCATGTGGATATCTCCTGGCTGGTAACCCAACCTTCACCTAAAAGCTGCCACTGTAGAAACCAAATTATATCAAAGTATGTTTAATCAGAGTGTATAGTAAGGAGTACCAGAGTGAATTGCCAGTGATAGCAAATTAACTTCTTGTGTGGGACTCCCAAGTAGGAGTTTGATGGATATTTTTAAGTTGAGAGACTTTTCAAGTTACTTTTTAGTTGAATTTTCTGGCATTTGGAAAGTAGGAAGTAATTCTTTTGTTTCATAGGAGTTTTGGTGCCCGTCTTCAGCACAGTGCATAAATGATTTATTTATAAGCACAGCATGCTGGGCTATCATTCATTATGGTGTGCATTTTAGAATCGAAGGTTCTGATTTCAGTGGACATCTCACCCTTCATACTCTTTTTACAGAAATGGCTGATGGTATTTTTCATTTAATGAATTGTATCTAAGGCTTCAAAAATTTAAAAGCGCTTGTTTTCATCCACATTTATTATAAACTAAGCTCCAAAAGTTGTGGTTTAAGTGTGTTGGGGTTTTAAAAGAATACATCGCTATTGGACATTATTGCAAAATCAGTTGATTAATGCTATGAGTTCAAAGAAATGCCTAAAGTAAATTTTTAAAATGGACCTGAATGGAATCCAGGTTAAAATGTTAAGCCCTAAAAGTATTTTAGAAGCTTGGAGTGATTATAGTTGTTTTATAGATAAGGAAACAGGAATAATCCAGGATCAAGGCCGAATGTCTCCTCCCGCCCCCCTTTTAACTTTTCACTTTTCATAATTGTGAGTATGTGAGGAATGTGGGGGAAAGAAAGCTCGTTTCTCTTCCAGACTTGGACTCTGATTCTTGCCTTGAAGTGAAGTGTAAGTGAGGTCCAGGGCAGCAATTAGGGCGCCCACAGCGTGCAGTCTGTGCACAGTATTTTGTGTGGCTTTGCCGGGAGCGGCTCTCCCCTTCATATTTCTGAGAACTGCACAAAGATGCCTTTGGGATAGTGGTCCTGTCCCTGAGACCTGCATTCAGGAGCCCCCACAGGGACTGCAGCCAACCAGCTAGAATTTTAGTGGGTGAGGGGTCGGCTCTGCCCTGAACAGGTGGCAGGAGTTTGTGATATCCCTCAGCCTGGACCCACAAGGAATCTTGTGCCATGGTCCTTAGAGCTTGATTGCTATCTAATGCAGTCACCCCCAGGGGGTGTTTGGTAATATCTAGAGCCATGTTCTGATCTTGACAACTAGAGGGGAATGCTACTGGCATCTAACGGGGATGTTAGTAAAACACCTACAATGCATAGGACGCTCTCACACAAGAATGATCAGCCCCAAACATCATCAGTGCAGAGCTGGAGAGACCCTGGCATGTTCATCCTTCATCATTTAATGCATATGGAGTCCTGTTTTCATACTTTGAGTCAGACACCCTTTCGGAGGCATAAAACCACAGGCATGAAGAAAGGGGGAAGTGCCCCAATACCTTTTGGGACTCATCAATGGTGAGAAAGTTCCAGATAAGGAAGCTGAGCATATTGATAGGTAATGGCTTGATTTTAAAAATGTAATACCACCCACTAGTTCATTTAAAAAAGAATAGGAGCTAAGGGAATTGAAAACTTTCAGTGAAATTTCATTCGTTCAAATATCTTTCAAGAGCCTATATTATTTGCCAGGCTGTCTTCTAGAAATGGGGATGTAGCCCTGAGCAAAAGAAATCTCTGCCCCGAGGATCTTCCATTCCATTGGAGGGAACAGACAGCAAATCAGATGACTATGTGAACTAGGGAATGTGTCAGATGGAAAAACAGAGCTATGGAGGAAAGAAAGCAGGGAAGGTGGATAGTCGGGGTTTTATGGGGAGGAGGCTTGTCCGCAAATGCCAACGTGATAGCATCCACCAGCAAATAATAAAGAGAAAACTTATTAAGGCCGTCCCAATTCTTTTAACATATATCTTGTTACCCTTTTTATTCCATTTCAGAACAACAAAGTCAGGCGTTTTGCTTTTGAGCTCAAGATGCAGGACAAAAGTAGTTATCTTTTGGCAGCAGACAGCGAAGTGGAAATGGAAGAATGGATCACAATTCTAAACAAGATTCTCCAGCTCAACTTCGAAGCTGCGATGCAAGAAAGGCGAAACGGAGACTCTCATGAAGGTAGGCAGATCCAGCTTCCCCCGGGCACAGGCACACTCTGTGCGTGTCCTTCATTTCTGACAGAAGGTGTGGAAAGTAGGCAGATATTTTGCATCCGTAATGACAGGTCAGACAGATGTGAGCTTTTTACAGACAGCCTGTCCACAAAAGGTTTTTGTCACATTGCAACTTATTACCCTGACATTATTTTTATAAGGAAATCATGTGATTGGAAGATCCACAGCTTTGGAAGCAGAAAGGAAGACTTGAGTTTGAATCCCAGCAAATATATACAATTTTTCAGCTGTGAGACCTTGGGCAAGCTGCTTACATTTTCTGAGTGTTGCTTTACGCACCTGTGAAATGGGAATAAAAAATGGAATTTGTTGGTTAATGGGAAGATTAAATAAGATAATGTATGTCTAGTACCTAGCATAGAGTCAACACTTAAAATACTAGCTATAGTTGTTACCATTATCATTAATCATATTGTTTGGAACTTCCAAGACAAAGTTAGGATGGGGAGAGAAGCCTCTGATTAAATTGATGGGGGAAATCTATTTTCTTGACAATTCATATGTTCAGGTTTTGTTGTTGTTGTTGTTCTTTAGACAGGTGATTCTCAACCTGTTTATGTCTTTAAAATGCCTGGGAACTCTTAAAATATATTCTTTCCTTTGTCCCACCAAAGATTCTGACTTAGCTGGCCTGGGGTGGTGCCAGGAGGCCTGACTTTTAGCACGCCTGATGGGAGTGGCGTGTGGGCTGTTCATGGCTAGTATCTGTTCTAATCATACAGTGCCCATGCTGTACCAGCTGTCAAATCTTGAACTCTCACCAGTGGGCCTGGGCATCAGAGTTGTGTGTGTGTTTTAAGCTCCAAAGTGTCTCTAATGGGCATCCAGGGTTGAAATTCAGTGTGTTCCAGGGCACGTAAGAGAAATGGCCTTCCTCCTCCTATTTAAAAAATAAATGTATGTTCATCTACAAGTGACTCAGGTTATCTGTTTTGCCATTTTAGATGACGAACAAAGCAAATTGGAAGGTTCTGGTTCCGGTCTAGATAGCTACCTGCCTGAACTTGTCAAGGTAACATCATCTTAAGTCTTTTGCTCTTCATAGAATGACACTGGAATAATTCTCATTGCATCTGTTGAAATGATTAGCAGTTACATTATAGTCAATCATTAAAATGACATTGCAGTTACTGCTCGCTCTTTTCCAACTTTAATATTTGCTGAGGTGAAAGACACTGTTCACCTGAGTTGATTTCAGTCTGTTTTCCAGAAAGTGCCTTACAAAGTATTTTTTTTTATTACTTTTTGTCAGTGATTTTCAACTGGTGTGCCACAAGAATTTTTAAAACATCCAATACCTGACTGTTTAATCAGGGGCACTGACCTCCAACAGCCAACCCAACAATAGCTCACTGGTGCGACTGAATAAAATTATACCTTTTTATTTTTTTGTCACATCGACAGAAAAAATATAACATTTTTTGGTGTGCTGTAGAATATTAGTAATTAGTTTCTGTATGCCATGCGATGAAAAAGGTTGAAAATCACTGCTGTAAGTCTTTTTCCCTCCATAGTATTTAATATCGTATTACAAGCATTGAAGAAATAACCAAAATACACAGGTAAATGTTCCCAAGGGAACAAAATACTTATGCAACCCTTATTCAAGTTAGAAGACACAATTCCAAAGATGATGGTTCCAGGTGAATCTTGCCAACAAACCAAAGTGGGGTTGCCTGTGTTCTATTAATTGTTCGTGGGTTTTTCTGAAAGAAAAGAAGTTATACCTGTTTTTTATAATTTTGAGAAACTTACAAGTTGCTGAAAAGCACAAAGAACAAAACAACTATCTTCCCACCTCTCAAATTCAACACCTATGACTATAATTTTAGCTTCTATATTTTTAAAGAAAAAAAATACATTATAAAGGTTTTTTAAAACATTATACTTATTCCATTCCTTTCTTCTCCTGCAACCTCAACCGGAAACAACCACTATTAAGAGTTTTCTGGGGTTACTTTCATATCTTTACCAATATCCTAGATAATAAAGAGCTAATATGCAAACGGTCGTCACACCCTCACACCCTTGTGCCGGGGCCAGGGGACCCAAGGCTGCACCCTCTGGCACCAGGACCATGGGACCTGAGGCCGTGCCCCCTGCCCTGGTGCCAGGGGACCTGAGGCCGTGCCCTGCACCTGGCGGGGCTTGACAGGGGAACTGAGGCTGCGCCCCCTGCCTGGTGCCGGGCCAGGGCACTTGAGGCTGCAACCTCGCACTGCGGGGCTTGATGGGGGTGGGGTCGGCTGGGTCTGGGTCTCACGCAATTTCGAGGCTCACGTGGGTGGGCGGGGACTTGACTTTGGGTCCTGCGGCGTGCCCCAGACTCTGACAGGAGCGAGATTTTTATGTACATTTTACTAATGTTCTTTCATCTCTGACACTTCTATTATAGAGAAAGGGCAAATAGCAATATTAAAATATTTCCTCTAATTAATTCCCTTTTAATGTGCACGAGTTTCGTGCACTGGGCCACTACTATCTGTTATAATGATATATATGGTTGTGTTTTATATGTTTAAAAATGTTATATAAATGGTAATGTATTATTCTGCCCTTGCTTTTATTTTCAATTCAGCATTGTTTTGAGATCCATCCAAGTTGGTGTATAGATCTAGTTCATCTTTTTATTGTATTGCGTAAGCATTTATCATAGCTGTTCTGTTATTTCCAGTTTTTCTATTACAGTGTTACTGTGAGTATTCTTGTGTTTGTCTCCTTGTGTGCATCTACGAATGATTTCTTTTTTAAATGAGAGAACTATCTTTGTTTTCTCTAACTCTTTATATTCTTGCTCTGTTACTGCCTTTCTATTCTTTTTTTTTCCTCAAATACAATGAAACAGAGACTGCACACACCCACATCTTAAACACTATAATAGAAAACGTGGTTTATCTATATACAATTATAAATAGACTAGCATTCAGCACTGACCTTTACTTCAGACGACATGGTTCTTCTAAAATGTAAAACCTCCCTCCCTGGCTAGGACTTTAGAATATTGTTTTTCCTAGGACTTGACTGTTACCACAGTATCTTTTTAGCACCTGCCTATTAAAGCTAATTTTAGTGCCACCATTGTAACCACCTTTTAGGCTGGGAAGAGTTTGGTGTGTGTGTTTGCTTTTTTGAGTTATGAATTTCTATGTATCATATTTTTTACATTGAGATTAGCTGTTTTATTTCTAGATGTTTGGAGGTTCATAATCTCTCAAAGCAAAACCTTTGTGGAAACAGATAATATATGCATTGCAATCTAGAATTCAAGACACAACTTTCTACACTTACTGGGTGAACACAATTGATCCCTAGGAGCAGACTCATATTATTTTAGCCTAATGTTGATTAATTAGAAATCTGTATCGTTTCCTGTGAAGACATACAGGAGTTGTGCTCTCCATTCTTCTCTCTATGCTTCTACTACCTAGCCAGCATAATTTAGAATGCCTTGGTCCTAAGACCTAGGGAGATTTTTTAAAAAATAAAACACATATGTACATTTTTTTAAAAAATCTGGGTCACATAATGTTGAGCTAAAGAAGTCTGACATGGCCCAGCCGGAATGGCTCAGTGGTTGAGTGTCAGCCTATGAACCAGGAGGTCAGGGGTCAATTCCCGGTCAGGCAGATGCCCTGGTTGCAGGCTTGATCCCCAGTGTGGGGCATGCAGGAAGGAGGCAGCTGATCAATGACTCTCTCATCATTGATGTTTCTATCTTTCTCTCCCTCTCCATCCCTCTCTGAAATCAATAAAAATATATTTTAAAAAATAAAAGAAAAAAGTCTGACATGAAAATACATATGTATTCTTTTTTAAATATGTGTATAACATATTTGGAGCTATTTTCAAACTGTGGGCAAAAACCATCCTCACTGAAGCTATTTTAGTTGCTAAAATCAATTTAATTGGTTTCAACTTCCCTCCATTTCTTACTTACAATTTGTTTTATTTTTTTATTGAAGTAGAACTTACATACAGTAAAATTCTCAAGTACAGTTATACAGCTTGATGAATTTCCCATTTGTGCACACACGTAACCACCACCCAGATCTCAATACAGAGAACATTTCCAGCACCCAGCAGGCTGCCTTGTAACCGCTCCCAGCTGGCTTTCTCATTCTTTTGACCTCTGTCATCATAGGCTGGTCTCAACTATTCTAGGCCTTCCTAGGAATGGAATCCTACAGTGTGCAGGCTTTGTGTCAGGCCTCTTTAGCTCCGCATTTGTGACCCAGATTTTTTTTTTCTAAAGAGTAGAATTGAATAGAGAATATGAAAGTACACTTCCCTTAATGATGACAGACATTACTTTAGAGCTGTAGGTATAGATACAGATGTTGTGTTTGCATTGGGTTGTGATGCAAATGTATTTTTTACTGTGGGTCATGGTCAAAGCCTGAAAAATGCAGCAGCATAACGGGCTTAATTGCTTCCTCCTCTCCCCCACGGCTCTCAAGTGTCTTAAAGCTATTTTGATGTAAGAAGGTAGAAAGAGGCAAAAGGTAACTTTTTATTTAGAGCAGTGGTTCTCAACCTTCCTAATGCCGCGACCCTTTCATACAGTTTCTCATGTTGTGGTGACCCCCAACCATAAAATAATTTTCGTTGCTACTTCATAACTGTAATTTTGCTACTGTTATGAATCTCAATGTAAATATCTGATATGCAGGATGCATTTTCATTGTTACAAATTGAACATAATTAAAGCATAGTGATTAATCACAAAAACAATATGTAATTATATATGTGTTTTTGCGATGGTCTTAGGCGACCCCTGTGAAAGGGTTGTTCAACCCCCAAAGGGGTCGTGACCCACAGGTTGGTGGCCCACAGGTTGAGAACCGCTGTTTTAGAGGTAAATAAAGAAGATTGGGATGTATTATCATTCACTCATTGTGCTGCCATCATCCTCGCAGGTGGCAGGGTCCAAGGTGATGCCTCTGTGGTGCCCAGTGAGAGGGGCCCAGGCACCCACTGTGCCCGCTCACAGCTCCTTCACAGCCCAGAGCCCCGAGTAATGAGTGTGGTTTTGGCTGTTCACAACCTCCTTCAGTGTGTGGGGGTGATCATTTGTACCTGTTAAAAAAGGCAGGGAAGTTAGCCAATAACTAATTTTAGAAAGAATGGATTCCATAGGGGAGAATCTGAGATGAAAGTACGGAGTGGGAAGGATAGAGAGGCCGGAAAGCAGAGCTGAGCAAGGAGGGGAGTTTAATCAGGAGCTGAAGAAGGAAAGAGGTCAGTACCAGGGAAGGAAGATGCAAGAAAGGGCCCAGCAGGGGATCAGGACACAGCTTAGATTTCAGAGAAAGGACTAGAACAATGCGGGCAGGCAGGGGCCCTTCACGGTGTAACTTCATGGCAGGTCCTCTCTGGCCAACTCCTCTTTCTGTTCCATTTACCGTGTTGCCCCGGCTTTTGTTTCCACTGTGACTGAGACATGACCAAAGAGGATGTGAGTGACAGGAAGTTGTTTTAGTACAAAAACAACTGAAGTCTCTTCTGGAATATAATGGAGGGGCCTTTTGCATGTGGTAGTGACGATACGAACTTAGGTTTTCAGAATATTTTGTGTAATCTTGGCCCTTACGTTGTTTAGACAATTAGTACTGAACATTATTCTTGTTTTACTAGGCGACATGCTGCATTTACCCCAATACCTGTTCTTTTCTTCCTGTTGTCTAATATGGCACCAAACATGTTTGTTGTAAATATAACGGCATTTATAGTATCAGAGTACTTACTCTTTTAAAGATTTTTATTGATTGTAGCCGAAACCGGTTTGGCTCAGTGGATAGAGCGTCGGCCTGCGGACTGAAAGGTCCCAGGTTCGATTCCGGCCAAGGGCATGTACCTGGGTTGCGGGCACATCCCCAGTAGGAGATGTGCAGGAGGCAGCTGATCGATGTCTCTCTCTCATCGATGTTTCTAACTCT